CCCCAAAACCCCAAAACCCCAAAACCCCAAAACCCCACATATTAGTTTCATTATTGAACTATTTCACTTGGAATTATCTTTATGAAGAAATTTATAGATGTGCGAATCTAGTCATTTTCTTAAGTTTGACTATAATATAACAATTTTATCTTACATAGAGCTCTTGGGTTCATTTTAGAAGCAATCGTACTTGCCTGAGGAGAAGAAAATATAGAACTTAGTCTTTTATCCCTTTTCAGATTGTGGTTTGGTGTTTCTAGAATATTTACTACCAAACTTACTATATAAACCTATTAGATTTGTTTTCGTAATGAATCCTTGAGTTTGATCCTATTTATGAAAATTTTGAAATACCTTGCTATTGCAGGATGATAATACACTATTTTCTCATGTCTTTATCCCCTTCTCTTTATAACCAGTAAACTTGGAAGGCTGCATTAGTCCAGTATTCCCTATTATACCCTCATATGGAGTCTTTGGCATGAAGAGGGTTTCTCTTTTCATAGATTTAGTTCTCATTCTTGCAATCCCTGGCATGATTTCTGATTTGCGCTTTTGCTCAAATGCTTTCTCAATCCTTGAATTTGTATATAAATTCCCTCTGCTTGGGGTAGAGAGACTATTATTCTACAAAGTTAAATTTCTGACTTACAGTTTCTGAAACATTCTTAGAAGCTCTAGAGTGCCTCATATTAGTCTTACTATAAGTGCCTGGCCTCTTCTTTGATTTGAGCTCCTCAGGAGCAGAAAAATCTGCTGAGTTTCTCTTATGTTTATTATTTACTAATTTCTTGGTTTAATAAGTTAATTATAACGTCTTTATTTATGTATTTATCTATTTTTTCTGACTTGCCGATCTTTGTCTCAAGCCATTTGGAATATTTCTTTATAAACTTCTCCACCATTTCTTCAGTCACTTGGGTCTTATTGGAGGGGTAGAGGTGCTCTCTGATTTGTTTGGCTGTGCCGAATTGGGCATAAATGAGATCCATAAGACCATCCCGTTCATCATAGAGGTTATTTCTGACAAATACATTTTCTTTCATTTGATTCTTGATTCTTTTCCTGTCCTTAAGATCTGACTGATGGAGATTTTTATCAATATCTTCATAAACATCATTCATCCTATTTTTCAGACTTCATGATCTGGACCTTATTGTGTCTATAAACCATAAGCATTTTCCATGTATGATCATGGATTTTAAGCTTCTGTAGAGCCGAGTCTCGATGGAACATGAGAACTTTGCAATCCAAACTTTTCACAACTGCCGAATAAGAGAATGCCCTATCTTGGCTAGGAGACAAAAAGTCTTCAACTCCGAATAATTTGCCGACTCTAAGGTACCTAATACTGATAGTTTTCGAGGAAGTGACTATTTCTGACTCCCTCCGCTTCATAGAATGGTATAGTGCCTTAAAGTTCTGCTCCTTTGGCTCCATTTTGTATTGCTGAGCGTCGATCTCCTTCTGTTTTTTATGAACGATCTTATTTTGTAAGCTCAACTTCTCCTTCAAACACAATATAGAAGTGATTGGCCTTGTCACCTTCGGAAATTATGGTTTGCTTGTTGATGAAGTTGAGGATTTCTACATGATTCAATAACTTGTTTAAGGCTGTTAGAGTCCACCCCTTGAATAGTGGAAGAGATCTAAAACCAAAGTTGTTAAGAAAGCATGTGCATGGGCTAGGAGTTTCTCAGGTAATTTTATTGATGGGAATTTTGAATACTGAAAGTTGGAATTAGACTTACCTCATAAATAAGATGAGCTCCATTTTATTTTCAATTTTATTAATTCTCCTAGGGGTTTTGGGGTTTTGGGGTTTTGGGGTTTTGGGG